GAGACCATTGTGTCATCTCATTATTATTCTTCAAGTGCCTGCAGTTTAGAAGTTACACCATCATATGTACCATACGTACAAGTTTTTATTGTATTATTTATAAAAAAAAAAAATAAATAAATAAACTGTATAAATTGATCAAAAATAAAAATAACTGTTATCAATAAATAAATATCGATGTAGTGTAGATAATAAATACAGAAATTCATTCATACAAAATACTCCACAATTTAAATCCAATTTAACTCGATTTGGGTTCATAAACTTATGTGGTAAATATTATTTATCTATTTACATTATATTTACGTTCTATTTACATTATATTTATATTTACGTTTTATTTACTCCGTGTTTTTCAACCCATGAGACACGGAGTTATAAGTCAGTTTATCACTTAGCAGTTCGGAGTTTTTTTTCATTTTTTTATTTAAATAATTTCTTTCTATTAGAGAATGTTATTGGAGTTAGTTTAATTTACATAATTATCTTATTATTATCAGAGATTATTATTATCAGTTATTATTATTCAGTATTATTATTATTATTATCAGTTATTATTATTGTCGATTATTTTATCGTTATTTTAATTAATCTCAAAATTTTTTAACCCAAAAATTTGAATGAATAAAAATTATTAGTAATTAAATGATAGACTTATCTTAATGTGTACGACCATACATTATGTACGCTAAGGCATTTTTTTTTAAACTTTAACATAGCTTACTAATTATTTATTTATGTTGATCAATTCTTTATTTATTAATTATTTTTTTTTTAAACCAATTATCGAATTTCATTCCGCACTTCTGGTCTTTTTGATGTACAATCTCGTAATCTGACTTTAAATTGTAACATAACAATGAGTGAAAAGAAAAGGAGATGATTCATGATGTTTTTTGTTGTTGACGATGTCGATGCGGAAATTAAAAATATTTTTTTTTCTTTGTGTGTCGTACATATTATACATATTACGCACTCGAGCATTTTTAAAAATATAATAAATAATTAAAGAGTTTAATCATATTCTATATAAACTCATATGCACCATAATGTGTTATCAATTCTAATGTTCCAAGATTACAAACAATGATAACGCTTGCAACGGTAACGGAACTTTTTTTTTTTTTATTTAAAATATATATATATATATATATACCATACTATAAACAAATATATTATATATTATTATTACCAAATAAAAAGATAACTTATTTCCATACACAACTATAACACAACTATAACACAGATTAATTATTGATAAATGTACATCACAATGATACACGACGTATAAACATAAATAATAAATAATAAATAATAATAAATTTAATAATAAAGATTATTATGTCAAATATTATCCGGACTATTATCTTAAATATCAGTAGAGTAGTAGCGGAGAGGAGAAAAAAAAGAAGGGGGGTTTTATTTTTATTTTTATTTTTATTAACACAATGACAATATGATTGATAAAGGAAATTCTTCGATTGGCCCCTTACAAATATCAATGATGATCAATAATTATAATGGTAATATTATATTATTTAATGATATAATATTATTATTATAAATGATTATTCATTAAAATAACGGAAAATGGTAAATAAAATGATTTTTTTTATTCTTTTCGGGATATGCAGGCCGTATATTTCATTAAACATTCATAACATTCATAACATTCATAACATTCACACAAGGAATGAGAGACAATCGAAAATAAAATTTAATTATGATAATTTAATTAAATTTTATTTATTAAATAAGTAATTATATATATATATATTTATTTATATAATTAATAAATTTTTATTTTATATCTATGTATTTTTTTTTTGTTCCAACAACAATGTTAAATGTGTTAAATGCCAGTCAAATAAATTTGATGCATTTAAAATTTTTTATGAAACTAACTAATTTAGAAGGTTGGCATTTGCCTGTCAAGTCTTATGTTTAAATGTGCAATAATAAGTTAATCACACATGGTTCATATAATGTGCCGATTGTCGACTCCCCCTACTTTTTTTTTTCTTCATCTCCATCATCATTTATTCTTTGATTGTTCTTTTTTCTGCATTCATCCACCATTCAGCATCGTCAACATCATCAACATCATCAACATCATCAACATCATCAACATCATCACCATCATCACCGACCATTGTGGATATACTTTTTCTCCTACTGGTTTAGTTTTCTTTTCATTTGAAATTTTCAATTTAATTTTTTAAATTTATCGTTCGCCGAGTTAATTTTATTACCAAATATATTATAATACTGGTTTTCAAGTAAAAGAAGAATTATTAAAGCAAAAAGAAAATAATAAATAATAAAATTAATAATAATAATAATAGTAATAATAATAATAAAAAATAAAATATATCAATTGTCATACATTTATCAGTTACCAAATATATCAACACATATAAGTGATTGAAGCTTCCATTTAAGGTTTGTAATACAAAACTTTAAAACCAGATCTATCGATTGTATTATATAGATTGTATAAAGATAACTTGTATATTAACTTGTATGGATTAAATAAGTTTTTATAGGTTATTTATAAAATTGTATATCAGATGAATAGTTTGTATAATAAGAATGTATAGAATGTTGCATAAATAGTTAGTTAATCACCAATTGAATTTTAGACGTTACGAATCACAAAAAAAAAAACTTGAATTCAACATTTTCCGACATCATTTTTCCGATCTCCAATTTCCGATTCCATTTTGAAGTATGTGAAACGTGGTAATTTGTGTTTTTTCTCCGAAATTTTCATCAGGTTGTTATTTTTGTTGTTTTTTGATTTGTTGATGATATTAACGATACGCTGTTGTTGTTGTTGTTGTTGTTGTTGTTGTTGTTGTTGTTGTAATTGTTACTGTATACCAGTATATTATTAAATTTTATTAAGCTATTTTAACTAACCAAGTGTGGATTCACCTACAAGCATCGGAAAAATCTACTCTTTATCTTATTTTTGACAAAAAAAGGTTCACATAGACAAAACAAAAAATATAATTGGGTAAAAAGACAACTCCAATTCATGATTATTCATCTGAAATTCAATAGCAAGCGGAAAAGAAAACTGAAATTCCCAATTTATAAATTTATACTTTTTCGATCGACATGATTTTCTATGAATCATTGATTAAAAAATTAACATATTCTTTATATTCTTTATATTCATTTCTTCACTTTTTTCACTTCTTTCATTTCTTTCATTTGAAAAATTTTAATTGGTAGATTTTTTTTTCTAAACTTGTTCATCTTATTCATCTTATTCATCTTACCATTTTATTATTATCTTATTCTTATTACATCTTTTGAATTAAAGAGAGACTAGACTTTGTCATTTTTGAATATTCTCCCTTTCTTCTTTCATTATTTCTATTTCTTTTTATAAAAAATTTTGATTTTATGATAAGAATGACAACCAATGAATTTTTTTTATGTAACTTCATATACTTTATATAGTAATAATATATACTTTATTTATATACTTTATTTATACCTTCATACATTTCATATATTTTTATATATACTTCATATTCATATAATACGTACTTGACATCATTTATTTCATTCATTATATAATAAATGAATAAGACGGAGATGGATACTATGATACTATGACGAACTATGAATATCACGATCTTTTGGTTTTTCTTGTTTTTCAGATTTTTGTTCTTCGATGATCCATTTGAAAGATGATAAAATAGGATATTCCAATTTATATATTGGTAAATTATTTATATAAATAATATATTTATATATTAGTTTTTGTTTTTATAATAGAGATCACCGAATAAATCTGTCCAAAGGTAACAAATAATAATAATTGTAATAATAATTTATAATAATAATAAAGAAAAGATAATATAATGATATAATATAATATATCTTACCGGTAATTTCTATAACAAGAAATTTGTTTATGTTGTGTAAAAAGCCACCCACTAATAGTGATAGTGGTAATAATAAATAAACACATATATATACGGTGTTGATTATTCATGATTATTTATAAAATGCAATGTTGTTTATTGTTTTATTATTTTATTATGAAAAAGGGTGGTTATTCATTTTTTTTTATTTTAGTGTAAAAATATAATTTAACGATTTTTTTAATCGGTGTTACAAAGTTACGAAGAAAAAAAAAAAAAAAGCGTTTACATATTTATTTATTTATCAAATTATTATTTATTTATTATTATTATTATTATTTATTATTATTATTATTATTATTACCACTAATTAAATATTCCACTTTTGCTTTATAAAAAAAAAAGGGATTCTTTTTCCCATCTTTCCCCGAATGAGAACAACATTTTATATTCTATTTATTTATATTTGTTGTTAAATGCTAGATTTTTATTAAAAGGGTGTAAATTATTTTAATTAATATTTTAATTAACAATTTTAATTAATATTTTAATTAATATTTTAATATCATTATACTTTCTTACTTTTTTTTATTTTATATTTATATTTTATATTTTATATGCTTACTTTTAATTAAAATTTTATATACTTTAAATAAAAAAAAATACTTTATATCTGCTTTTTTTTTATTTTATTTATATATTCACTATAAATGTTTAGTTTATTTATCAGATAAATTCTATTTAGTATTTTTTTTTCGGTAAACGTATATCATCACACAAATTTCTCATTTATTCTCCCCTTTTTCTTTCTTCTTTACACTTCACTCTTGTTTTTTCCTCTGTTTTTATTGTTCTTCTTAGGTCCCTTAGAGGAGAACAAATTTTTTCATTTTTTTTAGGTTTATTCATATATCGTTATATTTAACCACCGTCTAGCCTTTTTTTTTTCTTGTGATTAAGAAAAAATAATCCATTCGATTATAATAATTTATCAAAGTGTACAAAAATATAAAAAAAAATTTTTTTATATAAAATAACTAATAATAAAAAAATTCCAATTTAAAATAAAATTCAAAAAATTAATAATTAATCAATCAATATCAAAAAAAAAGAAAAGAAATGAGCACACAATTAGTTGAAAGAACACCTTCAATGTTCTCTCTCTCTCCTTACTCATTAAATGACCATCACCACCATCATCACCACCATTCAACTTCAACTCACTCTTATCAACCATATGATCCAATAAATAGTGCGGAACAGAATCTTTATATTTCTGGACATATTCCATCACATCAACATTCATCCCATTCATCATATCCTACTCCATATACTTCTCCTCCTTCAAGAATGAGAACTGCTACTGACTCAAATCCTTCTTCTTCGACTTCCGTCACCACTTCTAATAATAATCTCAACAACAACAATAATAATAATAATAAACAATCATCAAGTAATAATAGTAATAATAGTAATAACAACAACAACAATAATAATAATAGTAATAATAGTAATAATAATAATAATAATATGGGAATGTTAAATTCTAATCTTAATGGAGAAGATAATGGAAGTAGTGTTATGAAAAGAACAAATAAAACTCATGTTCCAAGTGCCTGTATCAATTGTAAAAAAGCTCATCTTGCTTGTGATGGTAAGTAATTTATTTATTTATTATTTTTTTTTTCATTTTACTATTCTTTCATTGTTTCCATTATATTATTTTCTTCCCATTATTTCTTTCATTATTTCTTTCATTATTATTATTTTCCATTTTATTTCTTTCTTGCGTGATTATCACTTTTTTTTGAATTATTTTCTTTTACATATTTCGTTTACGCACATGATCAAGTATTATCATGTGATTATGGATAAGCGTGTCATTAAAAAAAAATATTCAACTTTCTTTGGGTTGACGAAAATCTATAGTCTGTAGTCTAATATCTAATTTAGAGATAAAAAAAAAATTAAAAAAAAAAAGATCGTTGTGGGCTCGAGCGTTTAATACATCTGGATGTTAACGAGATGCACATTTTTTGTTGATTACCTGATATGGATTTAATTTTTATTATTATTATTATCAGTTTATTTAATTCCCCCTTTTTTAATAATACTTAAAATATATATTTTTTAATTTATAATTTTCCCTTTTTGAATTTAATTTTCCGATTTCCTTTTTTAATAATAATAATAATATTATTATTATTATTATTAATGTAATTAATGTTATTAATTATTTGCATTAATTACAATTTTTTCTTTATTTTTATTTTTTTTTCAAAAAATGATATAAACGTAAAAAGTAATATAATATTAATAATTAATAATTAATAATTATATTCATATTTATAATAATTTTTATAGTATCAAGACCATGTAAAAGATGCGTGGCTTTGGGAAAAGTAGATTCATGCATTGATATCAAACATAAAAAACGAGGACGCCCAAAGTTAAAGGATAAAAAACCTCATCCATATAATACTCATGCAACAGCTGATGCTAAAACTTGGGGAGTATCAAACACCCAATTTTTACCACCTAATACAACGAATCCAACCTCTGGTCATCACCATCATCATCATCATCACCTTGACCAACAACAACAACAACAACAACAACCACTTCATCATCCACCACCACCACCAACTCAACATCATCATCATCATCAACATCATCAACAACAACATCATCAACATCATCAATCTCAAAATCAAAATAATCATAATCAACAAAATTCGTATTCATCATTTATACCTTCACCACCTCATTATCATTCACCACCTTCTCGATATCAACAGTTATCATTTAATTATTCACCATTTTTAACAAAATCACCAAAATTTATTGATCAACCATCAACGACGACAACGACAACAATTATGAATTCATCAACATCATCGCCACCACCAACAACAACAACAACAACATCAACATCAACACTATCATCATGTTCATCAAGATTATCAACAGATAATCAACCAACCATTACAATGTTTTTAACTATTGAAGGATTGGAATGTGCTAAAGTATCAGATGAATGTTTATGTATATTGGGATATTATCCATCAGAATTAATTAATAGATCACTTTATAATTATATTACTCTAGAGGATGGACCAAAATTACAAAGATTAATTAATACATTATTAGGTAGAGTTCACCGTTATCCATCATTACCTTTTGTAACATCAGATGATCAAAGATTTTCAAGAATTAATCCAGAAAATTTACAATATTCCGCTTATGGTAGTACCGGAATTGATGTATCTGATATGATTAGTTTAAAGCAAAGAAATGGTCAATATGATTTATATAATGTTCGAATGTATTTAGGTGGTGGATTAGGTGCAAATTTAAATCAAAAAGAAACATGGAATGAATTATATATTGTGGCTCATTTTACTAGAGTTAAACTTGGTAATTGTATAACAAATGATTGTGGTTCATGTATTCAATCATCAATAAGAACAAATGTAATAAATGGAATGAGTGGAATGAGTGGAATGAGTGGAATGAATGGAAATGGAAATGGAATAAATAATAATAATAATAATAATAATAATAATCATCATAGTAATAATCATAGTAATAATAATCATTGTAATAATAATAACAACAATAATAATATTCCAATTCCATTTTCTACTATTGATCCATCATTACTTGCAAGAAGATCCGGGTTGTTAAGTCCAATTTTATCACCAAGACAAGATGTTCAAGGTGGATTATCTGAATTAATAATGCCTCAACCTCCTCCATCAAATCCACAAAATCCAAATGATTATTATAATAATAATAATAGATTATTGTCACCATCATCATCATCATCATCATCATTGGGATCAATCATTTCTCGTCCTAATCCAATAAATCCTTCAAATCCTTCGAATCCAAATTTATCTAATGTTCATCGATCTGAACCATTAATTAATCGACCAGTAACTCCTTCTTTATTATTAATTGATAGTAGACGATCTTCTGCTTTTAGTCCTACTCGATCTCCTACTACTATTTCTCCTCTTTATCAGGATTTAATTGATAACTCCAAATCAAATAATTTTAATAATAATATGGATATTTCATATCATCATCATCAACCACCACCTTTACAACAATTTAATCATTCACATCATCATTCTTCTTCTGCTTCCGTTAAAAATTGTCATATTGTTGATGAAGAAATATCAAATTCAAATTCTTTAATTATTAATGATGAACGTGATGAAAATAATATACGAAAATCTGGACTTCCTGAGGTGACAACTGCGGATTCTACTTCCCCAACAATTATGAGTGTAAATTCGTTATTATGTTAAAAAAAAAATGGATAATTTATAATAATTAATGTAAGAACGGATTTTTACACTTTATTATTATAAGAATAAGAATAATAATGATAACAAATTCTTTATAAAATCTTTTATAATTTTTTGCAATAGTATAGTTGTAGGAGTAATTGGAGAATAAAAAAGAAAGAAAAAGAAAGTTCTATAAATAGCATGGGTTCATATTTCGAAAAAAAAATTTCAATTTTCAAAAAAATTTTAGGGTTTTATTATTTTTATTTTAACACATTTTTTGGCATTTTATTGACATATTTTATTATTATTAAATTAGTTTTGGCATTTTATTTTGGTGGATAATAATTTTTTTTATACATACATACATACATATATATATATATATATATACATAACATATTCTTTATACATATATTATACACTTTGGAGGGTTTTCATTTATTAAAAAAAAAAAAGTTTTGATGTTGTAAAAATTTTTTTGTTTTGTGCGTTATTATCTTTTTGTCACAACGATCTATAAGTAGTGGTGGTGGTGGTAGTAGAAGAAAAGAAAAATTTGAGAATAATTTTAGAAATATTGAAAAATATTTAGAAATAATTAGAAAATAAGTTGAGTGGAGGGGAAAGAAAAATACGTATATATAAAATATATTTTTCATAGTTATTATTATAATTCTACTGATGGAAATTAACACAAATATTGGACCATGTTTATTAAAAATTATCTTTACTCTATCACAATAGTACAAAATGAGATGCTATTACGAATTTTTATTCTGATTTTTATTCATTACTATACAACAAAAAAAAAAAAAAGGAAAGAAATTTTATGCGATCTATACATCAAGAAGAGAACAAGAAGAGACGCAAAGTGTTTCTTTTTTTTTTTTGCATCCCGTCTTTTTTATTATTAATATAACTGTAATGGATTTATATAATATTTATAATATAATGGATATAATGGACTTTTATCAATACATTTCCTTTTTTTCCCTAAAAAAACAACTTTTCTAAAATTTGTATAGAATAAATATAACTATATTTTCTTCTTTTTTTTTTTCTCCTTAGAATTCTTTTTTTTTTTTTACAAACTTAAAATTATTATTATTATTTTTTATTTCTTATTTATTCATTTTTCTGCACTTTGTAATTAACTTTTATATTTTATTATTCTTTTTTTTTAACATATTGCACATATTTTTTATATATACATTATATTAAATTATTATTATATTATATATTTAACTTATTTACATATTATTATATTTAGTTATTACTTAATAATTTTTATTATATTACAGATTATATATATATTATAAAATTACATTATTATTATGAATATTTATTATTCATTTTTATATATACATATAATAATAATTTTTCGAATTAATTTTTTGCATTTAAGAAAAAAAAAGATTCTAAATTTTTTTTAAAAAAAAAGTTTTATATTATTGTGATAAAATTATTGAATATTTTATATTTTTACGCGAGAGAATTTATGAGATGAAATTATTGAATTTTGAGAATAAAGAGTGTAGTGTTTGGTTTGGGAGGAGAGTAAACGACGTTGTTGTCATCGTCGTCTCCGGATGGGTTAAAACAAGAGAATAGGGTTATTACCTACAATTATTACAATTGGATTATTAAAAATAATTATACATATTTTGAAGAAAACAAAAAAATAAAAAATCTCGTGTTGAAATTAAAAATTTTACTATTTTTTTTTTTTTTTTTGAATTTTCAATAATAATGTACATCATCACTATTTTAAAACTCATCGGTAATTTGTAACTAAATTGTAATGAACATTAATTTTCTTGACGTTCTTTACTTTTTTGATTAGTAATTTTTTTTTTAATTAGGTAAGAGTACTTTTTTATCCGAAATTAATAATATTATTAAATCATTGTTTTGGAGGAAAAAAAAAGTTCTATTTATGCATATTAAATTGACATCTATCACATATTATTACATATATAACATATAATTACATATAATTGCATATATCCATAGTATTGATACATTACTGGTATAGAAATTTTTTGTAAATAAAAAAATGGAACAAAATGGTTTAGACTCCTTTCCTTAAAACGCATTCTTTATATATATATATATATATGAATCTGTGAATCTGGTTCTTTTTTTTAAAAAAATTTTCCGATATTTTTTTTTTTGTGTCCGAATATTATGTGCTACTTTTATGTAACCTTTGTTTTTTTTCACTCCCATTTAATCAGAAAATTTTTTAACCAATCGAGTCGTAGCAATTATAAATAATTATTTAAATCATAATTTTTCCGAGTTATAAATAATAATATTATTTTTAACCAAATGGATAAAAAAAAAATTTCATGTATAAATATAATATGCAAAAGAATGGTATTTAATTTTTGATCGATTTTTCGATTTGTCGATTTTTCAATTTTTTATCGATTATCGAAGGAATCCATTAGGTAATTGCGTTGCATAGTTTCATCACAATAATAATAATAATAATAAGTAAAGTAATAATGATAAATCTAAAAGATCGAAAAACACGTCAGAGTCATATATGTGATTATGTAATCTTAGATAATTTCTCCTTCAGGAATTTTACACACGGAAAATAAAAAATAAATGAAAATCTTATTTAATTTTTTTGATTTAATTTAATAAAAGGATTATATAAACTACTACTTATTTAAAATAGGATTAGCCGAATTAAAAAAAAAATGTATTAAAATTATTAAAATTAGATGGTTTGATCTTTTGCGGATCATTTCCTTTCCATTATATCTTTTTTTTTTTATATCCATCTATCCATTTATGTCTTGGTGCTCAGATCGTCGCGTGGTTTGATTTTTTTTTTAATAGAATACTACGAAAACTTAGGGTGCTTGATGAGAGGATTTACTGGTAACAACACTTGATAATTGTTTTCTTTTCATATAGAAACTATATGTAGTTATTACTCTGGGTCTCGGGCGGGTTAAATCATTTTGCCCAGAAATAATGCTAATATTAGATAAAAATATTATTTAATAGTACCCAAGTCGTACGACGAGACCATGGATACTAGTGATGATTCGTGGAGACAGATACTTTTTGATGATCAAAAGAACTGTTCAAAGAAAAACGTAAGTGAAGTGAAGCAAAAAAAAAAAAATTAAAAATTAAAATTGATGATATATATAAAGATTTTTAAGCAAAGTAAATGTAAAAAGCAAATATATAAAGATTGTTAAGAATAAAGAAGTAAAAAGAAATGTGAAAAAAGATTGATAGTGAATTGAAATTCTTAATTGATGATGGTAAATTGAAAGAGATTTTCTAATTGTGAAAAGATTCAAGGGGAAGATCTTCATTTTGGACCAATGGGAAGGCATATTGATTTCGAAAATACTTGAAGATCATGAAGTTCTAGTTTCGTTGATATTCAATTTCACATTGCTGTTCTTGAATACGTTGTTGCTCTTCTTTAATATTTTTTTTAGCTTTGATAGTTCCAGTCTCGTATGGTCTCGAAGATTTGTTCTTTGAATCTTTTGCTTTGTATTTTTGCGCTTGTTCCTGGACAACGACACCTTACATTCCGCTTTGATGTATATGATGTTCTTATCGATCGGTTTGTTTTAAATTCTTTTTTTCAAGCCAGTTCATTCGCCATTTACCACATTTAACTATCAATTAAAATTGAAATTATCTAATAAAAAGAATTATATTAATATAATAAAAAGAATTATATTAATATAACAAAAAAAAATAATAATAGAAAATTTTCTCTCACTCAATAAATAATGCCAATTACCATTTAACGAAATGTTTACTCTGGGAATTAATTATTAAGTACGTACGAACGGGTTTTTATCCAACCAAATTCTAATTGGGATAATTATTCACTTTTTGTACGTTTATCCCTACTATTGATTTTGATAACAAACACTGACACTTCGTTTATTAAATTTAATTTAGAAAATCGTACTTGTACATCAGAAAAAGATTTCCGATGTTTTTTGATGAAATATTCAAATATTTACAAAGAAAATTAACAACTTTGAACTATCAGTTTCCTTTAATGGTTTTTTTATTTGCGGATGTCTTGGTGGTCGTGAATTTGTTGTTACCCAACTAAATTGATCTTCTTGAATTATATTGACATTGATATAGTTGTTGCCATTAATATTTCATTTAACATTAGTTCACTTCACTTTGATGATGTGAAGATAACTTTGTGAGAATAAAGGAATCAGAGGCATTAATATTTGTTTTTTTATATAAACTCCACATGATATTGAAATAAAAAAAGAATTAATTTTTTATCTCAAACATTATTATATAAAAAATAAAATCAGTAATATTTATTTATTTATTATTTTAAAAGGTATTCAATATGTTTAAAGTAATAGCAAATAACTTCCACATATTAAATCAATATAATATTAAAGTTAACACTTTATTTTACTTAATAAAAATCTTAATTACAAATTATTTATTAAAATAATAAAATGAAAAATATTTATAAAGATAATTTTAAGTACGCTTCACATTTAGAAATCATCAATAAAAAGATAAAAATAATTTAAATTACTATAATTAATCATGAAATAAAAAAATGAATATAATTTGATACTTACTCAAAAGTTATACGATAAAAAGCTTCTGTCGAATCTTCATTTACAGATGATTTTGGAAGATTTGAAAAATTGAGAAGTGTTGTTTCCTGATTTTGGAAAATCCTTCAGACTTAATTAATTTGAATTGTAATTTTTTTATTATTTTATATTTATAATCTAAATATTATTTTATCAATTAATAATCATACAACAAGAACAAATAGAACAAGAACCAAAATGTTATATTAATTTAATAACTGAAATTCCAAACAAAATCATTTTAAACCATATTGATTACAAAAAAGTAACAAATTAATTACTGTTAATAAGGCTATAATGTTTCAATAATATTTTAAGAATACAAAATGTACGTAATTGATTCAAGCTAATATATAGATTAGGTATAAATTACAAGTTCTATTGTTTCAATTCAAATTTAGCATCCAGATAATTATTATCCCTGTCTCTTTAACTCCATATTGTTTTAAATACAATAAATCGATCGTGGTTATTAGTGTTCTACTTGATTTTGATACAAGACTAATTTTTAATAATAAAAACTACTATAGGAAATAATAATCACAGCGGTTATCCAGTGACTTTAAATCTGCTGAAGTGAACTTTCTTTTTTTTTTTAACTTTTAATATAAAAAGGTTAGAATAAATAAATATAACGATTTGTAATTACATTTAATTTTTTAAAGAAAACAACTTTTACTCTATACGTGACCAAAAAATGCCACCCGATAGATTATGCAAAAAATGTCACCTGATAGATTATGCAAAAAATATTAATTCCTGGAATAAATGTATGTACTGTATTTCGAAAATTACAGTCGAACCTGTATAAAAGCATACTGCATATAAGCATAACCTGCCTATATGCATAAATTTTTATGGCCCGAGTTGGGCCATATAACCTATAAGCATACGCATAA